CCTTTTCTCAGTTTGATTTAGGGCATGCACAAGTGTTTACTGCTTTCAGACCTTTTCGTTTATTTAAAAAATTGGAGGGGGGAGGAAGGAAACAAGAATAAAACTGGAAAACCTAACCTATTTAACATGAGGTAGGTGTCCACGTGTGAGAGTTGTGAGCTTGAGCAAAATGTCTTTTGGAGTGAATGAAGGATGCTCTGTTACTTGGAGATGTGCGAGACACTTAACAGCACAGTGCTTGTTGGTGGGAGGTGGGCTGGGACACCGCATCCTTTTTTGTACCTGAGAGCTCAGTGATGCCAAGTGGCAGGTGATTATAGCTGCTCCCCAGAGCCCCATTTGAAATGGAATTAGAAAGATGAATGTATCTTCTGCCTGAATATCTCATGTTCAACCTCTTAGTGACTCTTTTTAATAGTTGTTTTAGTGATTGAGGCTGGTGGTGGCTCTTGGCAGCACTGTCAGTCTCTGAACTTCTCTGAAGAGCTGAAACCTGTAGGTCTGCCAAGACACGATGAAATTCTGTTGCAGAGATGTGTAGAGAAGCTCATATTCAATTTTCTTTTTTAGTTCAGCTGGAGTGTTACCATTTCACTCCTTGGGCTAATTTTTCCTCGCAAGTATGAGAGTTCTTAACTGAACTGGAATGTAGGGAGTATAAATATTGAAACTCTCCACAGATTTTTTAACAGCGAAGGTAATTTCATGATAAATAATCCCAGAGGTTGTATTAGATTGTTTGTCATTGTAAATTTTAAAATCAAGTTCAGATGTTTTCCTTTAATTTAACCACTGGATAGTTTAACCACTATCCTTGCATTAGAAACAGGACCCAGGTCACGGAAAGCCCTTACTAAGCAGATGAGACCAAACGATCATAAAGTGCCCCTCCACAGCTTAAAAACCTTTGATTCCTTGTCGTACAATACCAAATCACGAGACAATTAATTTTAAAATAGTGTGAACCTCTTTGCCCCCAGATCTACTTGCATGGATTCGTATCGATAGACCTCAGAGACTTTATTCATTTTGCTTGTACAAGCTAGTGGCTAGTATTATATCTTTGATAATATACTATCTGAACATAGTCCTTTTCTTTTAGGAGTGAGTCTGGTTTAGTTTTAAGCATTGAGAGACTACAGCAAGGACGACAGTGAACTCGCTGAGCACAAATGAGAACAGAGATGCGCTCAAATGAATTGCAGCACTGAAGCTGCTCTCTGCTGGCTGAGGTGGAAACCAGAGTTTCACCCCCGTCGGGGCTGTTTTTCCATAGTTGGTTAAAGTTATTTTCTCCATTTCAAATCTGACCAGTTGGTAGCGAATGGCCACCCACAATTCCCTGGCATGGAGGGGAGGTTTCCCGACTCACTGGAGCATCCTCTGGGTGCTCCCTTCCTCCAGGGAAGGCCCAAGACATCTCTGGCTGGGGAACGGCTTGGAGAGGTGCTGCAGTATGACCTGCTTGGGTGCTCGTAACTCCTCCCAGACTTCTGCCTCACCACTCCAGATCTAATATTTATTGTGTTTCTGGACTATTGTAGGCTAGACAGCGGTTGGCTGGTTCCTGCGGAGAGCATTCATGACATTTTTCTCAGTGGCTACATGATTTCACATGGGCATGGAGACAGGTCTTTAATTATGGGATGCCTCTTCTGATTTAACTATTAATAATTAACTTCCCAGTTTTTTAGTTGTGAATAATTGCTAGAGCCATGGAGTTGTTGTATATTATAAGTTTGACTAATTGAGCGCAGCCAGTATTTGTTAATCGTTCCTTTTATGCACATGCTAAACCCAGAAGTGTTTAAGTTGCTCTGAGACATTAATTTTAAACACAATTAAAACAGCATAACCTGTTAGCAATTACTCTCCCTGCATTGTTTTGATACTGATGGGTCCAGATCTGAGCACAGTAATTAAAAGGAACCACTGTTATTGTTGATCCCAAAGATAAACAAATGCTGATTACATGCTGTGAACTGGTTAATCAAGTTTATTTAACTTGTTGTTAGTGATTCATCCCAGTGACTGTGCTGGGGAGCTCTTTATTTGAGCCTAAGAGTATAATGGTTCTGGCTGTCTCCAGATTCTCAGCTGGTAAAGGAGTTTCACCAATTCTTTTAAATAGTCTTAGCTAACATCTTAAGGAATGGCATTGTTACATATATTATTTAAATGCAGTTTGGGACGGAGGACTTTTCCCTTAAAGTCAGGACATGGTTTGGGACCTTACTGTCGCAACTATTCCTTGTCCTGAGCAGCGGCAGAGGCGATTATGTTTCCTCTGAGGCTGGGCAGGCTCTTTTGTTTTGTTTGATTTTGATGATACTGAAGCGTGCCATGTTTAGTCTCACCTTTTGCCAATGCTCTTTAATCCAGTTGGAGAGACTACTTCTGCAGCCACAGAAGTTCTCCTAATGTGACACCAGGTTTCAAGTCACACATCCACAACCAAATAAGCAATCTTTCTTAGATCATCTCTGCATTTTGGGGTCCATGCTGCTCAGGCCCCTTAGCAGCATCAGCAATGACATTTAGTGTCAGTCTCAGCAGTGGGAGCATCTTGCTGTGGCCGTGAAAGCAACAGCTTCAGACCAGGCTGGCACCATCCCAAGGGGCACCTGGCTGGTCACTAGGACATGTCAGTGGGGGAGTCAAGAGACTAACTCTCTGTCTTGTGCTCTTGGCTGTGGAAACTAATGGTGCTGGCTAAAAGTAGACATTTTAATGTTTTGGTTTGTTTTTTTTTTTTTTTTAGTCTTAAACTAATTTTCTAGGGTTTTTTTTTCCCCACCGTGGATGGAGGTAAAGCCTTCTAAGGGGCTAGAGTGCATTGGGTTTGATCTTATTAAAGCTCTTGCTACAAATTGTACTGATCTCCAGAGCTAACCCTGTTTTTTTACAGGGCTGCAAGAGCATCTCCCTTTTAGGCATTTGTAGGCAAGTATGTTTTGTGCTTTCTGTTGCGTTATTTCAGGATAAGGTCTTTTAAAATGTCCTTAATTTCCTAACTCTCAGTTTCTGAGGCCTGTGTACAGGTAATGTCTTGGTACAGCTTTCGTTTTGCTACTCCAGGCAACTGCACTGGCTTTCTTTTCCCATCAGGGGTTTCTGAGTTATTTTTATATTTCTTGAAGTTGGTGGTGTTCAGTGATCACTATTCCTGTAAGATCCCTTCTCTCCTTCCAGCTGGCTGTGAATGTAAATTGCAAGAGGATCATCACGCTTGCCAGACTCTGGAAAACCTCAGTGTTAAAGGCACATTATTCCTCCATATCACAAAAGGCAACATCAGATAAGTGGGATGGCTGGCCATCACTTCTCCTCCTAAAATAGTCCACAATCAGAATGAGCAGGAGTAACCCAAGGCCAGTAAAAACACTACTCTAAATACAATGTGTATCACACTGTTTTCTTTATATTGCAGGGCAACTACAGGAGTATTCTGTTGGGAGCACTCTACTGCAGACCTTAAATAACAGTGCTAATGTTTAGATTGTATTTTCATCTTTTCTATGTTTTCCGTGCCAGATTTCTGGGACATTTGCCAGGTTCTGAGACCATATAGAATTAATTGTTAAAAGGGAAAATAAGTATTTCTTAAGTGCTGGAGAATATGTATGTCTGATCTAATGAACAATAGTTTTGTTATCAATTGTTAGTTGTAATTTACTCAAATGTTTTTTCTGTCTGGAAGGAGGAGGATTGGGCCATGAGGAGAGTGATTCTCCTTGAGCTTCTGTATTGAATTTATATACACACAAAGCATTTCTGCATTCAATAATCTAAGTAGACAGGATGACATTTCTGCCAGATAGAGGTGTAGAAGGAAACATAGGGGAATTTTCCTAGCCTGTTTGGACTGGGTGGTTGAGAGGTCATTGCAAGCAATTTAGCTGATGTTATATTGAAGTCAGAGTTGAAGAAAGCTTGGAAGATGAGATTATGCTAGATCTGTGTAAAAAGACATCCAAGATACTAGCTGTTGTCTGGTGTTGCAGTATGAGGTTGATTTAAATGAGAAATCTCATATTTTTATTAATATCTCAGTTATGCTTTGTTCTTAACCTAATTCAGAAGTTGTCCGCAGATAAACTTTCTGGTCTCGATGCTGTAACTCAACACTCGGTTTGTTGCACCATCTCTGGCTCTGCGTTAAGATTTTGATAGACTAATTCAGTCTGATATTCTCCACTAAATCAACACACGTGGCAGCTGCTGGAATCTGTGGGATTTGATCTCGTCCTTCTCCGCCACGCTATTTTTTGCCTCGCAGCCCAGTGGATCTACCGATTCTCACGCAGGCTTCCGGCCTCTGATCTGCCAAAAGAGAATTAGTTCTCTGTTTCTATACGCTTTGCTACCGAGGCTTCAAAATCCCCCTTAACCGAAGTCCCCGCTCACGGATTGCTACCATTCGTTTTTATTGGCTCCACTAAAGTTGCATTCCTGTATCTTGATTTTTCCCCAATTCATTCTCCGAGCAGCTTGAAAGAATTCGGCAGAAAACAAAACCTCAAAGCGCTTATATAATGAATTACTTTTAAACGAGACGCTAAAAAAGACAGAGGAGCATTTATCAGGAATGTTTGTGGGCTTGGTGGTTACGAGCTTAAAAAAATATGCTGTGGAAAGGCTTTTGTCCCATGACAGAGATTTAAAAGGCTACGGATTCGGATTCCAGCAGAGACCCGGGCCTGTAATCATGTTTGAAACGTTCCCTTTCATAAGGCTCCCCGGCTGCAGCGGGAAGCGAGCCGGCTAGGGGCTCGCCTGCAGAAAAGCCCATCACCTGTTGGGGCCCCGGGCTCGGGGGGCTCGGCCGGCCGCCGCCGCCCGCCCTGCCCGCCGCTGCGGCGAGGAGCCCCGCTCCCGGCACCGCGGGCACGCCGGGGGCCTGCGGGGGGACCCGGCACCGGCGGGAGGGCGGCTTCCCTTTCGCCTCCCTGAGCCTGCAGCCTGGCGCTGACAGCCCGGGCGCTGCGGCTTCCAACTTGGAGAGGGGAGCTTGTGCGGTAGGCAGGGACAATGGAGGAGAAGGAAAGCCAGAAACTTGAGCTGTGCCTGGCTTGCTCGGCAGACAGCAGGCAGATGAAGGGTAAGTAAGGGAAGCAGGCAAAGATGGAGTTACATTGCAACGTGCCCCTCGTTGCTGCTTTTTGTGACCGGAGGCAGAATGCATGGAGGGGGAAGGAAAAAAAAAAAAAGGCAAGCATGTCTTTCTTGTGCTAACGGCTCTGCAGATTTCCCTAACGCTCCGACTTTGCGAGTTTAACTTTCTCTTCAGAGATTCCTGTCTACCCTTTAAAGCAGGGAGCATGCTGTACTGCTGTCACAGTTTGCAGGACACTCGCTGCCTGGTGCGGGGGGGGCCGGGGGGGACACGACACATAATGTCACGTTCCCTTTAAATGCTCTGCATGCTTCACCTACGGCAGAGAAATAGTTCTTCTTTCATAAGAGGAGGTTTGAGCTCACCTTTTCCTCGGGGTGTCTTTTGAAAGAGGGAGATTCACGGCAGATTGTCACAGCCTTAGTTTACTTTGTGTGAAACCAGTTGGGTTTGCTTTGGAGCGAAGCCAGGAAATTAGAAGCGTGGTTTTCACGGCGGGTCAGCTGCGGTGCGTTTGTACCATTACTGTTGCACTATATATTTTGTCTAAAAGAAAACTATTTCCTGGGGAATTCTACGTGGGCTATTCCACGTGGAGCGTAACATTCGGGTAGCATGACAAATACCTAATCTAATCTGTATCTATTATAGTATTTGTGGAGCACCTGTGAACATTCCCGGTTCATGTGTATTGTATTCTTCATAGGCACTTCAGAAAAAGTTGTGCTACTGTGCTTCTGTGAAACAAATAGTGCGTGGTCAGGTACATGTGGTTTAAAAAAAAAATCACACAAGTTTATGAGTCTGTAATACCAGAAAATAGTGCCTAGAGAACGCTGGAGAAAAAAATACTCCCCTTTTTTGGGGGGGAGGGGTCATTAATTGCTCTTTTGAATCATTTTTTTAAGTTAAAATCCTGGGCAGTGCAAGTCACGTGAATCTGTGTCTCTATATGTTTGTGTTTAGTGGGACGGAAATCTTCACTTAAAGGATGTGTCTGAATAGGAAAAAAAACAAGAAGCCTTCAGTAACATATTTCTTCTGTAATGGTTGTATGAAGCTGCCTGAGACATGTGTGGAGCTAGGAAGACAGAGGTCTGACCAGACCGATCCTATGATTCTCCAAAATTGTGAATGCTGAAAGCTCATAACCAAATGCAGTAGTTCTGGCCCATATCCAAAATTTACATTTGAAAGTTCCTTGGAGAGAGAGCTAATTGTAAAGACAGTAGAGTAAATTAGAATGATTCCAAATAATCTCAAATTTACTGCTAGCATAGATATAATGGAGGTGGGTTTGACTCATGCTGTTAAAATTGTATTCTTTTTTAAACTTTAAGTATTGAATGTGGTTTGCTTCAAGGCTCAGTTTCATAGTATCCGTACGGGTCAGGTCCATACTTGTTCCTTTCTCAAATTATTCTGAAAATGTTCTTCTTTCGTGTCACCTGGGTTGCAAAACGGGACTGTTAAACTCTTCACAACATTTAAAGTAATGAAGCAAAGTGACTTTCCTGACCTTTGTAGACTTCATGGAGGGTGTGACTTAGAAGAATTGCATACCAGGACATGTTGAAGGACTTTTTTCTTTTTTAAATTTCTAGCTCACAGCAATTAATCTTTCATGATAATTTTCCTTATAATCCTAGGCATACTGCTTCTACACTGCAGACCTGGGCCTCTCCTGTAGTTATATCCACTGCAGTAATGGGTGATGTTAAGAAATCTTGACATTTGTTTTCAGATCAGAGAAGCAACTGAAGTGTGAGGGTTACTCAAGCCTTTGGATAACCAAAGCCCTCCCCTGTCAATCAGCAACTCTTGCTTTTTGTTGCCCTCTAGACTTGCTACTATATTGAACAGAAAGACCTTCAGCTTTTAGCTTCTGAATATCAGGGAGGGAGAGAGGGAGACAAGCTTATCTCACACCTCTGTGTTTTCCATTGGCTTCTCTTTACTCCTTTTCCAAGGAGGGTACTTGCATAATTTATCCTTTCGCTACTCTTAGCTCTCTTCTGGGAACCATCACATGATCCTTCACACATTTCACAGTTATCTGTGGGGATCGATTTTCTAGGCCTATTATCTTCACTTGGAAGATAGGGAAAGTTTGCCCATGCTGTTATTGAGCAACCCCAGGACCCAGAAAACCTCTCTCAGTTTGTCATCCCTGTGGAGCTTATGTACCCCGAGGTACAGTCCCAGCTTTCAACCTTGCCATCAAAGTCACTTGTCCCTATCTAGGAAGTGGCCAAGGATGATTTTTTTTCAGCAATTACTAGGGGAAAGACCCGTATTCAAACATGACAGAGAGTTTGGTTTGCAGAGAAAGTCACGTGCTGCTGTGTGCTGTAATGCTGCGGGATCGTGCTGAATGCCCAGGTCAGCTTGCTGGCAAGACTAGCAATTAGTTTGCATAGTTTACATTCCTTTCTTTTCACTGGTATTTATACAGTTTTTTCCAAATATATGAAAGAAAAATAAGAGAATTTGTTGATCTTTCTAATGTAGTATAAGAAAAATATGTTATTTTTGATTCCTTTTCAAGGTTTCACCCGATAACAAATAGTGGTAAAACACTTCACTTGATATGTCTCTTTATGTTCCAAATAATTAGCTTTTTCTTGAACCAGTGAAATGACTGAAGTACAGAGTAGGGAAAGGCTTTGCATGAGAGAGGTTTAGGACCCGAAATACACATTCATGAGCTCTCAGTTGTGTTTCTCAGCATAGGTTTACCTGCCTTCTTGAGGAAGTGCCTGCCACCAATTCAGTGATTGAAACTGCTGCTGTGACCATACTTTAAGGGTTTATACCAAATTGCTGCACTCAGTCACCCATGCTCGCGCTGACTCCCTTGAGCTCCAAGGAAATCCCTTATTTATGTCTGCCGCCTTTGTTCCGACAGCCTCAGGGATATAACCTCTGGGTTCTTGGTGCAACAAATTGAAGATGGTAAATTCCAGCCAGCCCCAGCCCACCTCTTTTTCCTCCTGTGTAAAATCCATTGAAATGACTGTGCAGCTTTCAGAGGCCATTGAGGCTGGATGTTTTTTAATTGAGTTGTGCTTGGAAAAGGGGTGTGTGGGTGTGTGTGGGTGTGTACACGTACACGTGAGGCTGCTGCTCTGAAGGTTTAACCAGGATTGTGCTTCTAAGAAGGTCTTAGAAGGTGCTGCAGAGATCAGAGGTGGCACTTTGAATCTGCGTGAGAGCAAAATTTCTCTGTGAACCGAACCTGCTTCCGAAGTCACGCCTGGATCTGTGCTCATCAAAGCGTGGTGCCACCTGCAGTCTGGGCTCCTGTGTCCAGTTCTTCTTTTGGGATAGGTTTCCATGAGTGCAAACAAGAGGGTGTTGTTGGTATTTTGGAGTCCTTGAGCATTACAGGGAGCTTACAGAAACATGCAAAGTCTTTGAGGACCTTCCAGGGCCCAGTCCTGTTGTGAAACCCAAGGGATTTGGTTCCCCAAGGGAACTGGTGGGACATCACACTGGCAGCAGCTTTATTACCAGGGCTTGATGTTATGTGGGACTTGGCAGGCAATTGACACCGCACACCAGAAAGCTGAAAAATCCTCAGCATAAAATCCTGAGGCAAGTGGTAGGCGGGGTGTCAAACTGACTGACTGAACCATAAAAAGAAGCGAGTAGGTCCCTGTTTCCAAACAGCAGTGCCATATAAATGGCAACACACAAGGGAGATGGTCGCTGGAAGGATAAAAGGCTTCGAGACAAAAAGTGTCAGACGGAGAGGAATAGAGATGTGTTAAAAACACGTAGAGGAAGGAGCTTCCTGCTCCTGGGGAGGTGCTGTAAAGGGTTAATGCTGAGGCTGCCGGGTAAAGACGGGAAGGCCACATCAGACTTGGAGAGGCCTTTTCAATGCTTCTGGTTTTTGTGGTTTGGTGTTTTTTTTTTCTTTGCAGACAAAGGAGTGAGGGATTTTTCAAAGGTATTAGGTAACAAGGCTCCAGACTACACTTTTTTATGCACCAGAGGGTTCGTGTTACACAGTTACCTGAAGATAAGCCAGCACTTACATACCCTTGGTGTCTGCCTGTCTTTACAAATGTCGTCATGGTCTTTAGTCTTAAAGTAGATTTTAAAGTTAAAAAATGAATCCGAGGGGTTTTTCTTCTTTTTATATCACACAAAACTTGCTTTTATTCTGTTTCTTAAGAAATGGTTTATTGAAAAAGTGATGTAGTATTTTCCAACCTGCTGTCCTGAGACGTATAAAATCCAGGGGAGATCCGTGAAATTTAAAACCAGACCACAGTCAGAAATCAGGGAAAAAAGCCTCCAAAACCCTCTTATTATTTCATAGGTGTTTCAGAGCATGTTGATAACACTCTGAAAAAGATTAAGGATTTCAAATCTGCTTTGTCAAAGGAATTTTATCAGTTGCTATCCTTAAGGATTCTAGTTACAGGGCCACTGAGTGTACTGGAGCCTATTGAAGAAACTCATTTCTTCTTGTGGAAAGCATCCTGTAGATTTTAAAGGTCAGGGAATAAGGGCCCTGTCAGATCTTCTTTTCAAGTCACATAGTGGTAAAGATGATATAAAAGGAACATCTACTTTAATGATGCTCACTTTTCTGTGAGGCAATACTGCAGTTGTGTGTTAAAAGTATATAAGTACAGTGCATAGCTTACATAAGTGATTATTTCCGGGCCACTTCTTACGTGTATATGCCTAATGATGCAGGACATGCCATTGAACACTACCAGACTTTTAGAAGTACCTAGCTTTTATATTGATTATTTTCTTTTTCTTATTAATGTGAATGTTGGATGTTGGGATTAAGTTCTTATAATACACTTTTGGGGTTTTTTATTGGTTTTTTTTTTCCAGACCAGGCAAAAACCAGTTTGCATGTAACATCACTAGACGATGCAGAATGTCTACGATCTAAGGAGCTCCTTTCGACCCCAAACAGTCACACATCTTCTAATTCCAAGTCCACCCGAAACATCCCTCGAAGACATACAGTAGGTGGCCCTCGCAGTTCCAAAGAAATACTGGGAATGCAAACCTCGGAAATGGACAGGAAGAGAGAGGCTTTTCTTGAGCATCTGAAACAGAAATATCCCCACCATGCTACAGCAATAATGGGACACCAGGAGAGACTGAGAGATCAGGTATGGAAGTCAAATTTGTGTCTTGCTTTTTGTTAAACAGTCTTTATAACTCCTACAAAATTGAGTGTTACCTCATTGCAAAAGGTGAGAATGTAACAAAGCGTTAAACAGATTTTTTTGATGTAGCCTAAGATTCAGTTGCTCCCTTGAAATTCAAAGAAACAATAATAAAAATGAAACTGTTCAATATTACCTTGGAATTGCTTGTTGAAACTGACATTTTTTGAAGAGCTTTTCATTTTTTTTTTAGAACATACATAGAGAAAGGGATGAAGGTGAGATTCTTGATCTTAGTATATGGGCCTCCATCTACTTTTCACAGCTGAAGGGAAAATACAGAACAGCTGTTAACTTCTGTTACACTTTCAGTATTGGCACCACTGCCTGGGAGAAAAGAAAATATCTGTAGAGTGTGTCTATATGCTTTAGCTGGCTCTGTTACCCTTTCATTTGCTTTCTTTTCTATTTTTGAGTCTTTTAACACAAACAGAACAGACTTATCCACAGGTATCTGCCTCCTCCAAGCTGTTTTGACATCCACGTTGGTCTGTCAGCAGCGTACCTTAAGGTGGTTTGCTTCTTGCCTGCCCACAATTGCTTTTCAGCAGCAAAAAGTAGATGTAGGGTCAGAGGAGATGTGACATGCTGATGTATTTCTCAGAGCAGGTGGAGGCTGTCGTCACACTGACCTTCTGAATTCGGGGAATGCCATGCAAGGATCTCTTCGCAGCCTAACTCTGGGCTCTGGTTTTAGGTGCAATGTTGAGTTCAATCTGTTCAGCTTTACAGACAATCTACTTTCTACTCCATAATTGATTTTTTGCAATCAACCAGCAGAATATAGAGTTCAGGCTCAAAAATCTTGTGCCCGTTATTCCCAGTTTAGCAAATGATTGACAGCAAACCTTTTATAGAAGTTTTTTTTTCTTAGTGTTTTATAGGTATTTCAGCACTAACAGGAAGTTAATTGTAAGTAAGGAATAAAAACAAGTTGGAAAAATATTGTACTCTGTTATGGGTGTTCTTCCTGAATTCCCAGCCTCTTCTGAAGCTTTCCAAACCTTTGGGGATCAGACCGTTGTTATAGGTTTGGAAAGATTGTAATTTGGTAACTCCCCCTTACAACGTCTCTGTGACAGGTTCTCTAGAGATCCCAGGTGCTGTCACTGCCTCAGAACACAACTGCTAGAATCCATATGTATCCAGCTAAAATTGCTGCAAGACCTCAGCTCTAATGAGGATGATCTATTCCTTATATTTAAACAGCTTCCCTCCTTTCCTTTGAAAGTCTTGATTTTTTTTTTTCTTCCCACTTATCTCTTCCATGAACTTTAGTGACTGTGTGGAATGTGCTGGGTGGTGGATAAAGATAGCATACAAATTAAATAAAGGGGGTGGGAGGGGGGTGAAATCCAGAGATTAGATCTTTTGGAGTCATGTAAATATTTAGTTCCAGGGTTGCAGACACTGCAAACCCAGTTTGAACAGCCTACAGCATTACACCCTACACATTTTGTAATTTGAGTCTTTTCTGAAGGCAATAAATTACAGAAGGAATGCAGTAACTGTTCCTGCTATTTGTTTAAAATGTGTCATCCTTGCTAATTTATTGAGGGTAAAATTCATGTGAATGTCTCCTGCTTCTACTTTTGGATGATTAGACATATGTATTATATGTAATGAGTTTTTTAATAATTTTAAACCAAAATAACTTTAAGTTACTATTAGAGCATCAAACTGTCTTTCTTGGGAATGGGAAAGACCGAAGACTTCATCCATTCAGCATAACTTAAAAAAACCCAACCAAGATAACCGAACAGAAGCCACATTAAAAACATGCAAAACTAAGTTATACTAGTCGATGGTAAGAAATTTGCTTAGTTGAAATGTAGTGAATCAACAGTCTGGCTCATTGGATGCAGTAGAATTATTATGGTCATGGTATTACAGTTTGGAGGGTTTTTTTCTTACCAATTTTGTCTATGTGTTCACACACATATATGTGTATTTTGTGTGTGTGTGTGTGTTTGTATGTGTGTATATATATACACCTCTGTGTATACATAGCTATATGTATGTGTGTATATATATATGTGTGTGTATATACAATGCATGCTTATCTAGCTGCTCCATGAATAAGACCATGATATAATTTTGCTTTGGAGGGTGTATATGTGTGTTTAGCATACATACTTCCTTTCCCCTGCCTCTTATATATGTATGTGTGTAGCTGTGGTATAGAAGACAAACTACATACACATGTAGTAGGTATGTGAATGTAACATATATATGTGTGTGTATATATATCACATACAAAATCTGTAAAATGTATGGGAAGACATAGAATTAAAATGTCACGATTTATTTTCCAGGTTCCTTTCCTCCCTTACTTCTCTAGCTCCTCCACTATCTGGAAAGTGGCAACATTACCCATGGTGGGAATTTCCCCACTGTGGGAGATCTATCAAGGATAGTAGCTAATGCAACGGCATTTTCTAATCTCTATGTCAAATGGTGCAGCTGGAACATAAAACATCCCACTACTTACAACCAGGAGATAGTCCCTTGGATATCATATAATTTGTCTTCTGGCTTGCTCTAAACCCTGGCAGGTCCATAACCAACAAATATGGGCCAGAAAATCAAGATTGGTAATTACCTCTTTTTCTATGGACTTTCTTCTCTTGTCCATTTTTTACTGTCCATCAGTATCTGAGTATGGCAAACTGACCCCTGGTTTGCAGAAAATAAACGTCAGGAAAAAAAATATTTGATGTTGTCAGATCATACTGTATCGCCTCCACCGGCAAGGTTAGCTCTGACTGTTGTCCGTATCTTCCACTACATTATTAATGGTTTCCTGCAGGCTTCGTTTATTCAGATAAATCCCTCCCTGGATGTGCCTCCTGAGGACCCGTTTCTACTCTTGATAACCTGCCACAAATCAGAAGTACAATCGTGGCCAGGTAAAATGCCAGCGGGGATTACTGATGGTTAACTAACATGGTGACCTGAAACCTCCCAGCTGTGCACACAGATCATCCCTCCCCCACCCCGTGGGTTTGTTGGCCTGTTTGCCATACCTTATTCTGGAAAGGAAAGCCGACAGAGACGGGGGGCTGTCTTTATTTGCACAAGGGCCTCGGCATACTGCCGCAAGGCAAATAACCTGCAGCTAAGCTGGTCCCTGTGGTAAACTGGGACGTGAGTTTGCAGCGGCTGCGGGGGTGCAGGCGTGCCATGCCTCGTGCTCCCCAAAACGCCGCAGGGGAACGCAGCACCCCACGGCCGCAGCTCGGCGACCCACAGCCCAGCGGCTCGCCCTCACGCTGCAGGTTTTCCCCCTCGTGAGACAACCCCGCAGCCGGGCACCAGAGCTCCCTCCACCTGGAAGCCTGGAAAGCCCAGGACCAAAATCTTTTTTCATAGGTAATGCAAGTTTCTGCAGGAGCTTTGGATACCTTGCCTCTGCCAAGGCTGTCTCGTCTGCGTTAATGAAAGCAAGGTGCTACCGTAATCCCCAGGAAAGTTAGGAAGAAAAAAGAGAGAGGAAGGAGGAAAACGGTCTCGGTCTTCGGAAGTTTGAGATGGTGTGAGTCATCTGCTGAGGAGCTCATGGCAGGACGTGGTCACCCGCTTAGGTGGGGCTGACTCCGGTCACCAGAGAAGGAGAGGGCAGGAACAAGGGTAAAGGCTGGGCCAGTGGCTGCGAGGGTGAAAAAGAGTTAGCAATTAAGAGGTTAAAATGCTAACCTGGCCATGGGAGGGGGCTAATCCCTGCCGCGAACCTGTTTTACAAGTCACCTCGCTAAAAAAAAAACCTTTCTGAGGGGCAGAGAGCAACAATGAGTGTGTAGAAGTTTTTCAGAGCCAGAGCTTATGAGCGTGCCCTAAGAAAAAGAGCTGGAAGATGTTTGCCACAGCTTTCTTTTGTTGTTGTTTGACTAGAAAATACACTGGGAGATGTGGAAGGGTCAGGAACAGCTCTAGTGTTACAGCCAGTGCTCCGTGAAGAACAAATACATTGGCAAATGAAATTAGATTTCCATCAATTTAAAAAAAAAAACAACCAACCAACCTTCTGCTGCCTGTGCAAGCCTGAGTGCCTAGAAGATGGTGGCTGAGGGTTTTTTTGTTATGTTCAGTTAGGTCTGCACATGACAGGTTACTTTGGCATCTGGGCAGGTGTGGTTAAGGTTACCATGGAGATTCATGATGTCATGCTTGATAGAGCATGTCAAGACAACTAATCTAACATGTAGATGTTCAAAAAGTCCCATAGGCCAGAACTAAGCTTTATGCAAATAACAAAGTTACACTGCAAAAGGGTGAAAGAAAATACGGCTGAGATATGGCGTGCGTTTTACCTGGCAGCTTGAAAGGATTATTACAGGCTTCATCGTAAATTAAAACTTTTGGAACTAAAGGAAGAGGATTTCAGACCGTCTCTGGCCTCACCTGTGGAATCTCACATTTTGGTAAATAAGCCTCTTTCTCTCTCTGCCCTCGCTGTAAAAAAATGCTTTTGAAATCGTGGAATTTACTTCACCACGTTGTTCCTCCTGGCAGTAGGGCTGAGTCAATAAAGCAAGTTTTCTGGCATGGCATGTTCCCTTTTCTCTTTCGAAAATGAGTTCTTTATTGAATGAACAGAGAATTCGGAATTATTTGAAAGGCATTGTAATGTATTATGTTGATTATATGAATCATGCTGCAAAAATGTCCTAGGTAGTGTTTTGGAGGAGAAACTAAGAATGGAGACACTGTATTTATTTGTAGATTATTGCCAGATGTCTCTCCTTTAACTGTTAAAATAGAGCGCTAAAATTACAACAGCATTTATTCCAGGATTTGATATCTGCAAAAATATCAAAGCTTTTTTTTTTTTTTAAATGGATCATAGTATCAATTGGTTAAACTGACTTTGAGTATGTCCTTTGATACCATAGGGTAACGCTGGGGCATTTCTTAATAGATTTTTTTCTTTGGGTAAAAGTACA